CATCAACAGTGGGTTGCCTGGTCAATGCCTTTTCTTACTCAGCATCAAAGAACTTAAACATATACAATGTATGTGCAGCATGGCTTTTAGATTTGTTTTAAAAATTAATAGTCTTTTCATGTTGGGACAAAGTTGTTAGAGTTCTCTTTGTCTGATGTAAGAGAAATTTCAATACGTTTTGACTGAAGAGCCTTGCTCTTTTAGACTGAAACTCTTGTTTTCCAATTAATGTATGAAGAGTTAGAGTTAAAATGTTAACTGTAGAGTGGAATTCATTGTCATCAAAATACAGTGGGAACCACTACATTACAATCATATTGTCTTTAATGTGTAAACTTTATTGCAAGCTCTTCATGTAAATATGATAGTAACAGCAAAATGTATTACATTCCTGCAAAGTTGTGATGTGATGCTGAAAGGCAGTTTTATCAGCGACTGATCCCAGTACAAGTTCAAATTCAGCACCTGCTAAATCAAGTTGCCCCATGCCTGAGGGGAGCCAATGACAACATGCCGTGTCCATTTGTAGGTAATTAGGTTTAATTGAACTTGGCCTGTGGCACACCTTGAACCCCAGGCCCGGCGACTCTGACCTGCCGATGTCCCAATCTGCCGGTCCTGTTCTCAGCGGGCGTGTTACATCTGGTTTAGTAACGTGGGAGCAGAACCATGCCCAGAATTCTGCACCTCCAGCAACTAAAGCCTTGTGAACTTGACTTTATGGGTTACATCTAGGAAGATTCCTAATCTGATGTGTGAATGGAAATAAATTTCTTCCAGTTTATGTTTGTCTTCTGACAAGTATGATAATCATATGCTCTGATCACAAAGAGATCACACATGCTAATATTAACCTCCCTTCTACCTAACCCCATTACCAATACACATTGGTAACTAAATGCATTTCTTAGCAGACTGAAGGTTAACTCTTAACAACTACTTTCTATTGCCAGGTGGTTTTGTTACCAGCAGGTCAAAATCAATTTGTGTGTGAATGCTCTCCACAAGTCATGTTCAACTTAGTATGGCCGGGTCAACCCAGTTGCTGCTGGAACAAAGTTGGTTGGTAGTACATCACTCTGCTTGGCCCTGTAGGAGCAGTGAAAATGAAAGTGATCTGGAACCAGTTATACTCAAGTGAACTCAATGAACAGTTGAGCTAGGCTTCCACTGGTCCTGACAGAGAAGACAGAAAATACATGATTGTGTGTTTAGTATATACCTTGATTTAAACTCATGGTCCATAGGCAGGGTCACTAACCACTGGACTACATATGACACCGCAGAATACAATTGTAGTGGCGTCGGGTGGTGTAGTGGTTAGAACAATAGACTGTGAACCGGTAGACCCGGGTTCGATTCCGAGTCGTACCCGGTACATGTCTGAACATGCGCCCCGACGTTGTGCCCTTGGGAAAGGCACTTTACACGAATTTCCTCACTCCACCCAGGTGTGAATGGGTACCTAACTTCGGTTGGGGAAAGTCGTATTGAGGTCATCTTGTGGCGCCGAATGGCAGCCGCACAGACCCTTGCGACTGTGTGTATCATTTGTATTATTTGAATGTTGTAATTGTGATTTGTATTGATTATTGTGTGATACCCTGCATCAATTCAGCCGTAAGGCTGCGACTGCATGGGTACTGTTTGGACAATAAAAACCATTTATTATTATTATTATTATTATTACACCTGCAGTGTTCTGCTAGTTCTATCATATATGTGATAATTACTGAGATTTGTAGCTGTCACTAAATGCCTTCCATCCACCTGCTTCATTAATTCCCTGCAAAAATCCAAGAAACAGCAACTCAAACTCGTGTGGCCTAACTAATGCAGGGCCAACTGAGTTGCTGCTGAACCAAGTTAGTAGTCCCTGTAGGAGCAGTGTGCTGCTAGTTCTACCATGTGTCTGATAATCACCTTCCCAAGTATCCACCTCCCCGTCTGACCTGCACATCACCCCCGCGGGTCGTGTCGGACAGGTGCGATGGCGAGAGAGCCACGGAACGGGTTACCTCGCACGCTGTCGATGATGTCACATCGCTTTGGTGTTTATGAACAAATGTTTACATGTCAGACACTTACATGGTGACACTCTCTCCAGGCCTGTGGGCACAGTGGCCTGTGGGGAAGGCATCCCGTGTCCTACATGTTCATGTAGTAGGGACATCTGGTGATATTACCTGCAGTTGTTTTATTTTACGGTAGGAGTCAAAAGAAGGTTTCCAAGTTGTTTGAAATTTGCTGTTGAAACAATTCTGTACTACATGTACAATAGAACTAGAATATCCATAGTTGCAATGATATGAGTTTGTGGTAATAGGCCGCCACAAAAACTGCTGATTTAAAATGAAACCATATACAGAGACAGCATTTACATGTGGTGTCATCCCAGGGAATGTCAAGAATGGCAAATATCCCCTCCCCCATCTGTTGAACATGCTCATGACCTGACAGTGACCTGTAGGTCAGTGACCCCTACCCTTATAGAAACACAGGTCCAACCTTGCTTGTCTGCATGGACCAAAAGGTGAGCCTAAACTGTCCATGAATTTGTATACCTTTCACTTGATATATCAGGTCAAAGCTTTGTGAAGATATAATATTTCATTCATCAAAGTCATTTTAAAGTTATTTATGTTGGCCCATGCAACATACCTAGTAGATAAAAGCAATTAAAAAAAAACAGAGGAAAACTTCCATCTGACTTATAATGCCTCCTGCCTGAAAGTAATAACCTTCAGGATATTAGGTACAAACTTCCCCTCAGACTGTTTTCATGCTGGTTTTCTAGTCTTATTGAATCCAAGAAGCAACAAATCAGATCTTGTCTGGATGACTGAGTTGTCAAGCTCTGTAGCAGACAAGAAGATAATACCATCTGACATTTCTGACATAAGTTGCAGCAGTTAGTAATGGGAAGAACAACAGCCCCCTCCCCCCTCCAGCCACTAGGTCAGCTGGCCGACAGGGGTCAGCTGAAGGTCAAATGCAGAAGTTCAGGCATTTTATTGATATCATATTCTATTTACATGTGTGCTAAGTAGATGCACGGGTCAGAAATAGGGAACTTCTGCACAGAATGACCACCCTGTTCTTGCTGTCATTAAAGATATTTACCGGTACCACTTACATGTACATATAGTGTGAAACAATGCAATAATGTTACATACATTCTTTAGATTTCATAATTTGAAAAACAACCTAAAGTTTGTTTGTTTTTTCTCTCTTGTAGCTGATATGAAGTTATTTTAAAAGGATACCAGCAATAATTTTAATTTGACCTTTTAGTGGTATGTAAATAGCAACATTATTATGTCACTCACATTGTCAATATGAAGGAAAATACTGTTGTAATAGCCTCCCCCACTGCCCCTGCTGCCAACCTAATTTCTTGTGGGAAAGGGACACATGAATATCTCTGGGTGTCACAATTTTGTCACTTTCCATTTATTTCTCCAAGACCAATGTTAGAGGTAAGTGGAGGCTGTGTCTGCAGGTCTGGTTGTGGTTACAGGTGCTTGACGGGTCATTTAGAGGTCACCCAACATGGCCGTCCCCTATGCTTCAGATTATCCTGTCACCTTGATAGAGATATCTGCCTGCCCAGAGGTCACAGGTTAAAGGGATTGTTATCAACTCTGTTTATTGGTCAGCCTGTGGCTGCATGTCAGTCAAACTATTGAAATAAAGCTGGGATAGACATCTTTGATTCTGTACACTGGTCCTGTCCCTGGTGCTGAAAATAACATCCTAACCTACAGATGTAGGTCACAGAGATTTGATGTGAGAGATTTAGGGAGGAAGGTCTTCACCTACCCGCTGTAACTTATGGCACAGACTGATCGGTGGGCTTGTTGATATGACCTTGCCTGATTTGGAGGTCAGCCAAGGGTATGATACCCTGGCCCCGCTTTGAAGTCTTCAAGATCTAAACATGCACCGGGCAGGAGTCAACTCAAGCTTGGCCAGGCTACATGTAGATGTAGATGACCTGCTTTTATGCTGGCACCTTGCATGTAGGTTATCAACATTACTGTTGTGAATCTGCACAACCTTAATTACTGTGCACCTTCGACATCAGACCTTAACATAGACTTTACAAAGTTTACATACATGTAGATCTACCAGACATTAGTCTTCCCATGCTTACATGCACATATTATAAGGCAGCATCAACTGAAAATAGATCTCTTCCTAACTTGACTGTTGTCCCAGTAAGTGTTTGAGAACCAGTGAATCCCATAGTCCAGCCTCACACGTGTGTAAACTGTGGGAGAATCTAATCCCCTGTTTCCCTACACACCGACTTGCCCTATCACTGATGTTAGTTGACACAGATAACAATCCCAGCCCAGCCTCGTCTCAGCCATATAAAGGGGCTTACCTCATTGCCGGGGGCACAAAGGGTCATTGCCATGACAACAAACAAGTGTTTCTATGACAGCAAACAGTCAGGTTCATTGCCGTGACTACAAACAAGTGTAGAGCTAACAGGTGGTCTGCAGCTGGACGGGAGTCTCGACATGAGGATGTTTTGATGTGAACTCTGTGTAAAACCTACAGGTTCACTGCCAAAACTACATTTTCAGCTCTGTAAGTTCCTGAAGTTGACTGCCCTGCCAAGAGAAATTTTGTGAACACGAAAAACAAATGAATTTTGTTAGTATATGAGTTATTTTGCATTTAACATTCAATTGGTATTCACATGTCTTGTACATAAATATGACTAGTTAAAGGTGCTTTGGATACATGGTGGGTGGGCGAGGATTTCGACAGTTACAAATGTAGTTGATAGGAAAGTCAGGGCCAAATGTGACCCAGTACGCCCCAATTCAGAAAGTGTTGTAATATCCAATTGAATTTCATCTGTAATTATACAATCTTTTATACAGTTCCATTACATTTACAAAAGCACAAAATAGTTCATAGAGCTCTGTAAACTTAAAGGCTAAAAACAGCAGTCTGAAATCTCTATTTTCTTGTTGTTTGTTCAGCGAGTGGGCTGCGATGGTGTCCTGGGCTCTCAGACAGCGCTGGATAAGTGTGGGGTGTGCGGCGGCGACAACTCGGCCTGCCAGGTGGTGTCAGGGATGTTCACACGGCACCACCTGCCCGTGGGGTACAACCCCCTCATGCGCATCCCCGCAGGAGCACGGCACATCAACATCACCGAGCTCGCACACAGCAAGAACTACATCGGTAAGACTTACAATTTTCTTTTTCACATCAGGTAATGTCTCTTGTCTTATGTACATTTCCAGGTCTATCAGACACCTTCCACAGAGTTCATGACTGGAGTGCTGCTTCTCGCCACTTCTGTATATTTAGCTGATGTAGATGGGGATTTTTTGTCAAGAACACAAGCCCAAACGTGGCTAATTTTTTATCTCCTTTGGGCCACACTCCTTCAAATATAATGTTGTGTAATATTATTGTACCACAGAATTGTTTCAAATATGAAGCTAGCAAAATGCAAAAATAAAAGAATTTACAGTATAAAGACTTTTGACTTGTTACCATGGTTACCAGGATCACTGTCCATTTGTTGAAAGTAGCAACGTTTCTTGGATTATGGGAATCAGGCCAGAATCCACGTGCACACAGATGTCACCAGTAAACTCAAGTTAGTGTGGCCTTCGGTTATTTAGTTTGGCCTTATTCCTGTGGTATGTGGAGTAGGAAGTTTTTAACTTTCCATGACGACTTTCAGATGTCTGTGTTCTTGAGGTACTCAACAGCTGAACCCCATATAGGCATGACAGTCCACAACGACACTGTAGAACTTTTATCTTTGGCTTTTAGAAGAGGTGTAGAGAGGTGAATTTTAACATGCAATCTTGTTTATGTAATCCAAAAGAAACAGTAACATCAGCCCTGCTTGTTGGAGATTGAGGATTTAGACCTATGAAAATTAATTAGTTGGTTTTCAGATCCACTCTGGAAAAAATTTGATGTTTAAAAAAGTTACAACATGAACGTGCATAAAGTCTCATTGGTTTTTGTTCACTTCTGTGTTTCTTATCTAAGCCACTGTATAATCAGCATCAGAGCCTGTGATATGAATCATTCATTTTTCTTCAACAATGTGAGAACCACCTGATGAACCTGGAGTGGCCTAATGGATCTTTTGTCCGGCTTTCAGAGCTAGAATGTGTGGAATGTACACTTGACTTTGTTGGTTGTAAATGCCACAGAGAGGATTAAACAACTCAGCGTTGAAACATGTGACACCTTGAATTACAATGTAAAACTCTGGGCCACACTGCTTCAAAAATATGTTAAGTTGGCTCTAATCATACACCATATCTCTTTTATTGTTTGTCGTATGATGGCACAATTTTGGAAAAGGGATATCTTAGGACACAATTGTAAATGAAAAGGACATCTATCTTGACCTCTATGATTTAATCTTTTTTCTACATCATGAGCTTCAATTTTATGCTTATTTTTATTCCAATCTTGTATTCCTGCTGGCATTTATAACTTGTGCACACTGCTGACTCTGGGTCCATGTAGAACAAGGGATACAAATTGATTAACTGACATCAGCCAAATTTGCTGCCAAGTTCAGTATTATATCTATGGTGATAAACTATTGACTGCATTACAGATGAAAACTCCAGCCAATACTACATATGTAGATGATAGTGAGTGCATGAAAGAATAAGAAGCCAGTCCCTGTGCTTATAAGATGATTAATGTTTTCCTTGAGTTGGGGCGAAATAGCAAAAGGAGTAAACTGTAGCTAGATGTAGGGCATCCATTACCTCAAGGTCATCCATTACCTCAAGGTCATGTGCTGCAAACCCCAGCGCATAAATCACTGGCCTAACTGCCTGGCAGGCTGGTACACTCCGACACCACTCAGGAAGTGCAAGGTCAAGTCCGTGTGTCAACTTATCTGTGAAAAGTTTTAACTTAAAGGATCTTGCAGACTCAGGTCCTGACAGTTTTCAGGGAAAAGTTCATGTTACCTTCTGCTTGAGATAACTTCAGACACATCACACCTGGTTGATAGTGGACTTGTCTGCAAATAGTGATTTAGGGGAGGAAAAGTGCTTTTGTGGTGTGATGTTATATATGTAGTGATGAAAGATTAGCATTAATTTAGTACTTTTACAAGATCTGATGAGAGGATTGTGAATTTTCAAGCTCCAGAAGGGCAATGTGTCTGTGCACTACGCTCTGAACCTTGATCTTTCACTGCAAGTAATGTTTCTTATTAGTCTTAGTGTTTCTCATTGTTGAAGTGGTGCCACTTGGACTTCCAGCAGGTTTGGGAGGTCAGTCTGGGGTTCTTTGATATGATAGAAGTGGTAGACAGGGCTGTGTCGCCCCAGACTGGGAGGAAGAGTGGGGGAGGGGATCATCTGGAGCAAAACCAGTCTCCACAGTAACACTTCCCAGATGAAGACATAGCTGTGCTGTCAGGCAGAGTCAGGGAGAACATGCACCACATCACAACTCCCAGCCATAATCCACAGCCACAGCATATTAACTCAAACTCAGGCCCGGTGGGTGGGCTTCAATTGGAGCAGCCAGGCCATCCTACTGGGGTGAAATTGGGCATTCCACTGAAGCCAGGAGTTTGACCTGTGCTGGATAGGTGGAGGACCTGGGCTGGCAACGTCTTTCTTTAATAGAAGTACAAGTGTTGCACATTTATCATATCCAGAACTGTGCCTATCTAGTTCTTAGTCATGCATTGGGTAGGGAACATGATCAAGTGATATAATTTATGCAAATCAGTATCTTATTTGCATAAATCAACAACAAAGTTGGATAGACTATATGATGATTATGTTAATTACCCACCTGTTCATCGGTGTATGGTGTCATAAGGCCTAGTCATTTCATTTCATACCATAATTTATTGTACATGTACATGTACATCCCAGGACAGGTCATTAACCATTGTACTACAGGGTAAGGCTAAGAAATATGTTATACTATGGCAGGAACAGAGGCTGGCAGAAAGAGTATTTGCAGAGAGTTTTTCCAAATCACAATTAAAATTTCTAATGATTTATATTCGCAATGTTGGACTGTTTGTCGAGTTTGATCCACACACACCAGGGCGTATCCTTACTCTCATTGAAAAGTGTGGTGGGTTCTTAACACGCATGACACTGGCTCATGCGCATAGCATAAACTCCAACTTAAGACTCCCTTATATAAGGAATGCTACCCATCTCAGTTGCATTCAAGTCATCTGAGCAATAAGGATTTTAATTCCTGATGTTAAGTCCAGAATTGAAAGCAAGGTTGCCTCTTTGTAACCCACAGAATATGGCTGACAAACTCCTCTGGCATATTATACTCTGTCTCTGTGGCCAATTGTCACTATTTTCCAGCAAACCATTGGAGTTTGGTAGAGCCTAAGGTTCTCACCCCGAGACCTGGCCTGCTGCTGTAAAGGTGTTGTTGTGACGCCTGCCGTTTACATAACTCCTCTTGATGCTCAGCAGACAATCTTCATCCAAAACAAACACGTCGGGGGTTCCTTTGAAGTCCAGACAGGGAAGTGTAAGTAAACTCGGCCTGTGTTTTGAGGATGTGCCATACAGAATCTTCTTCAGGTCCCTGAGACTCTGCAGGTCAGATCTGCATGTTCTGTACACCGTCAGGTCGTCTTATCCCCGTCTCAAGGTTCTGTGCACTTTCACTTTTACGCCGACGCCTGAGGATATATGTGGGAAGCAGGTGCATGGCTGTGCAGTGATAGACACTGTATTGCTGCTGATGAAGACGTGTGAATAAAAAAGATATCTCCTGTCTGGGCTCTGGGGAGAAAAACAACTTGGTTGTGTAATTTTTGGTACTGATGCATCATGGGATGTCGTGCATATTGTTGGATGCGGCACAGGTGCATGTTGGATACAGAATTGGTGCATGTGCAATGCACCTAATGTACAAAATTGGTGTGTTGTGCCTTGAGGCAGTTTACAGGTTATGCAAAACAAATAAACAAGCAGGAAGAGGTAGGAATCTTTAATTTGCTGCTCCTGGGGTGTCTACAGGAGTAACACTAGTAGTTGGAGAGGCAAGCCGATGGCTATCTCCTTGCCTTGGAATGTTACAGTTGAAAAAGTGCCAGTTGAATCTGTTGGAGTAGAATAGACTGTTGTTTTGGAAGGTGGACTTGGCTGGGGCTGGTGTTTTGACAGAGAAGAAGATAGGAGACAATGCGGCAGTGTCTGCAGAAGCTGGCCCTGTCAGCTTGGAGGAAACACTCTGGGAAGGTTCCAAGGTGCAGCAACCATCCATCTACCTTGTACAGACACACAAGTTTATACCTAAAATAAGGCAAGAATACAAGATGGAGGAAAACTTAAAACTGGGAGTGAATGAAAGGGCCAAAGAATCTTACAGTCGTACATACATGTACATCCTGCATGCACTGTGACACCAAGTTATTTCATCGGTTATCTAGTGGCAAGAAAATAATTAGGCAACAAAACAAGTCAAAGAAAACTTGGAGACTGAGGCCCATTATAAGAGATAAATTTGAACTGACCAATCCACATCCAAGAAGTTGAGTAAGATGGATTATTGCACATTAGTCTTTCTTGGGACAGACCTCCTGAAGCTGCTGGCAGAACCCAAATTAGTCTTGGGCAACATTTTCTTTGGCGATCCATAAAAAAACAGCACTTCGTGCCTTGGACTGTCAAGTTTCAGACATGGATGAATCAAAACACAAAAGATTCTGGCGATCCCTTCTCTTGTCGGTGAATGCATGGAATTTTAATTGCTGCGGAATCTATGCTTGCTTGTCAAAACATGTTGCTTTAGTGTCAGCGTTGCCATGGCAAATGTCAGGACAGAGCTGGCGTTTGTCGTTTTTTACTTCACGCTGGGTTCAAGTGAAAGAGGGTGTCGGCCCTTATGTAATATGGTACCAAGCTAAGGTGAACGTAGTCTTAGTGTAAAAGACAGTACTGGTAATAGATTAGTGCTTTCTTTCAAAACCTGTCAAGACTACAGTTAAAAGGGGTTGCTGAAGAGGAGTGATTGCTCCAGACAGGGTCAGTTGGCTCAAGGAGGTTTTTTAACCTCCTTGGTTGGCTGGATTATTGGTACATTGTGCATTGTATAATACAAATGTAGGCATAAATTATGGTTGATTATGGATGTTGATTGGGATGTGAATGCCCCCAGGGGACCACAAAAATACTAAGAGGCAAGATTTTTCCAGACCTACAATTAGCAAATGACTCAAGAAGTACGTTGGACTCCACAGAATCTCGACAAAAAGGAATGTCAAGGTCAATCTTGTCTTGTTTCATTTACTAAGAATGAAAGATCATTGCAAACTTTAAAAACATTATGTACTGCTAGATCCTTCCTTTGTTGCCTTAATCTAGTTGTATTGCTTTTCCCCAGAAGCTGATTCCCCATCCATGTCTCATCTTCTTTTGGTCAGAATAATCCGGTTTATATACCTGGACAGGTCATTCCTACATTTATCAGACACCTGTAAGAACACAAGTACAGATGTGTCAAGAGTTACTTGTAAAGCTCCTACTCCACACATCCCAGGTGTTTCTAGCCTTGGCAACATGACAGGTGTTTTTAGGAAACATGTGTCTCACCTGCACAAACCCCACACCACAAACAGCAGGTGTTCTAGTCTTTAATCAGTTCCCAGCCTGCCTGTTGTGGGGTTGACAGGGCATGGCTAATTAGTGTGCGGAAGGTTGTGGGGTCGTCTGGGGTCAGGTAGGTTTTGAACTGATGTACACAAAAGCAAGGGTGGTGAGAAATACAAGAGATATGACCTTTACCGCGAGCTTGAGGGTGGCTTACAGTGAAAAGATTTGACAGCAGGAATGTTGTTTTCACTGGTAAGCTTCACAATTCACCTATCCATTTGGTTGCCATCTTTATGCGCATCATACAAGTATGAGACATGTTAACGTCGGTCTGTAGCTATTTAGAATTTTGGCAGAATGTCTCAGTTGTAAATTTATGCTCCATCCACATGCCATAAAAGGTTTATTTGACCTGAAGCAGTCTTTGACAATACATTGCATAATGCACAGCAAAACAAAGTACTGTACTATAAAATAGAAATTTTTAAAACAGATAACAAAATGACGAAACTATGAGATTTTGTTAAATACAATTACGAGACATTTCTCAGTAGAAAATCTCTTTTTCAGCCCTCAAGAATACGAAAAGCAAGTTCTACTTGAACGGCAAGTGGGAGATAGATTATCCCGGAACTTTCAAGGGCGCAGGGACAACATTCCAATACACAAGGTCAACACCTCATCAGCGTAACCGGGCGGGGCAGACTCTGTTAGCAACAGGGCCAACCAATGAGGATCTTGAGGTTATGGTGAGTAACAAATTCTGCTCTGTAATTGGACAAGTCCCACCATTTTACTGGTGACAACCGATCAGGATTTAGTTTACTTTTAAAAGTAGAAATCCTAGATTGGATAATTTGGACCATGTTGGTACTGTGGCCAACCAATGAGGACAAAGTTACAGTCAATTCAAACCCTGCATTGTGGTTAACGTTGGGCAAAGTGGATCCTATTGACATAGGGACCAGCCAATGAGATCCTGAAGGTTATGGTGTGTAAAACCCTGCAAAATGATTGGATGAATCATACTCTGTTGGAACCTTTACCAACCAATGAGAACTTAGAGATAATGGAAATTGCAATCATTATGTACTGACAGTATGTACAAATATGGTGCACAAGCTCCCCCTACTGGCCATTTTCAGAATAGCAGACGGTTCGACACGATCACTGTTTTCTTCTTCATTACCTCCATGCATATATGGATAACTTTCCATTGTAAGGAAGGGTATTGGGTTACCAGCATTACCAGCATTCACCATAAAGTGAACAGAAGTGATCAATGGTCACTTAATGAACTCTAGATAAATCACAGAGGTATGAGTTGTTTGAACTCATGTCAATAATCTGGACTCTTTCAACTACTACTGTTTTGTTTTTCCTCAGCTGATCTACCAGCAGAGAAATCCGGGCATCTTGTATGAGTACATCCTGCCAGCCATGCCCAGTGTGACTCCCAGTCCACCCCCGCTACCTGTCACAATGAGACCTTCCATCTACATTACCAAACACACATCAGACATCAACAAAGCAATCAGGCCCCACGGCACAGCGAATAGAGACAGTGCCACTTCAAACAGGCATGAGGGTACAGGTGATAGGGACAGCTCTGTTTCAAACAGACAGCACGGTACTGCCAACAGGGACAGCTCATCTTCAAACAGGCACCACCACAGCACAGCTGACAGGGACAGACCCCCGCCGAACAGGTATCATTCGGACAACTCCAATTCAGAAAAAGTAGACGGAGCATCAGAAAGGACTGGGGGAGGCCAGGGGGGTACTGATGGGAGCTCACACGGGAGTTCTGTGGTTCCACGAGGATCACAGGAGGGTGTGTTTGGGGGGTCGAACAATGCGTACATTCCGGGAACCTCGCACCAGAGCATCTACCGACCCGGAGGGCCTTCCTACCGGCCAACGGGAGGCGTGTACTTGGGAGGAGGAACTGCTGAGAGAGGGTCAGAAGGAACGCAGTACCTGCCAGGATCTTACAGGCCGGGGGAAACACTTCCTAACCAAAATGTGTACACAGGGGGCATAGACAGAGGGGGGTTGAACCCCTCCCAGGACCCCTCCCCACGATCACCCCCCGGGAGAACATTTCCAGAGGGGGTGTACACAGGAACCAACCTGGGGCCGGTGGAGGGAGTGTTTCAGGGGTCCACCGAGGAGTTTGGACCTGGTAGGAGAGAGTTCGAATGGACGGTTTCAGGGTACACACAGTGCAGTCGCACATGCGGAAGAGGTGAGATTATAAAAGAAAAGGCAAAAATATATCTTATTAATACTATGTATAAAATATTATTTTTAATATTCACTTCTATTCAAAACAAGGCTCATTGTGAGCCACTGAGATGTTTTTGGTTATGCTAACTTGATAATGGTGTCTGTTCACCTTTGTCTTAAAAAAAATTGTTTCACTTTGGTTCATATGATTTTGTTACACATGTCATTTTTGGGTGCATTTTGGTAATAAAAGCTTACACTTAAAAAGATAAGCCCATCACCATACATGTACAATCATGTATTCTCCATTCCCCAAAGGGGTGCGAACAAACATTATCCAGTGCATACGGAGAGACAGTGGCGCTGTCGTGCTGGCCAGCAACTGTGACAACCGGATACGGCCGCCTGTACAGCCAGTACCATGTAACACCCAGCCCTGCCCAGCATTGTGAGTACAGTATAGAACACAAGAGAGTAGCATGCGTATAGTCTAGTGGTTAGTGGCCCTGCCTCTTGAATGACAGAAGGTCAACTGTCAAAAACAGGAAATATGGTGCTCAAGGATTGGTCAGAAAGTGACAGTGGAATGTGCACAGAATCAGTGAGAAATTCACAATAGATAAAACACAAAAGTTACAAGATGTCTAAATTATTTCTAAGAAGTCTGAAATCTCAGATGTCTTGTTACAGTTGGGACGAGGGAGAGTGGACACCGTGCAGTAAGACGTGTGGACCGGGGATCAAGACGCGGATGGTTCTGTGTCGGCAGACGATCACACACAGCTTCACCACCACAGTCTCCCCCAGGAAGTGCCGCTCCAGCCCCAAACCTGCCACCTCGGTCATGTGTCAGCTGGGCATCTGCAGCAAGTGGAGAATAGAGGCCTGGGGACCTGTACGTACCTGTTTTTATTTCTCATACATGTACTACATGTGTATATAGTATTATACAATTGAAATTCTACTACAGGATAAGATACAGAAATTTCTTCTGGATGTTGAAGACACCCATTGCAGCAAAACTAAATTTTCTGTGTCATTCTTTTAATGTACAGTAGTAAGTTACATCAATCCTATCCCATAGCATAGTCAGTCTGATATTTGTGGGACTAAAATGCAATGTCACTGACAGAGAACTATTTCTTGTTTTGTATCATAGGCTAGTTCTAGCTATTTATGGACAGTACCCAAAAACCTAAGGGGCTACTCACTTACATTTTGTACATGTAGCTTCCTTTGGGGCTTAACTTCAAATGCTACAAGTCTGAAATAATGACGAAAATGGGCTAATTGGCAGTAGATGTCAATATCAGACAGATTTCCTCATTCATATTATATTGTTTAGCCACCTTAAAATTTCATTAGATGCCTTTAAGAGTGAAATCCATCATCTCAACATCATTAGAATGAACTGGAAAAACTCTTTTGGTGTCTCATTTTGTACCAGTGCACAGCAGTATTCCTGATTTTGCAATACAAGCAGAACCACAGCATAGTCCACTTCAGTTGTGATAAGTGGGACTGGTCCATCAACAGGTCCTGGCCATACATGTATGCAGCCTGTAGAAAATAGAGCCATCATGGCAGTTAAGTCATGCACAGGAGAAACAGGATATCAGGCAAATATGGACCCCAAGTGATGGCCATATTTTAAGCTATCTATAGAATTTTGGACCTTGGGTATAGATCAATGACATTGTGTACAGTGAGTTGTGAAACTTCAATCCAGGAATTTTGTATGATAATATGTTTTAAATAATGTTGCCTTGTGGATGAAAAATTAATTAATGATAAAGTAACTAACCACATGTGCTAAGATTAAAATGATACGTGAGCAACAGGTAAAGACCCTGTTAAACACAGAATTTCAGTGTTCAGGCCCAGTCACTATAGATAGCCAAGACTTGGCCTGTTAAGGACAGCTTCCAGACACAAAACATTTTTGCAAGAAATCCTGGAGTTCAAAGGGAATTGACATGAAGCTTACTTGTATTTTGCATTTGTATCTTTTAACAACACTGTACTTTAAATTTAACATCCTGTCTTATATGAAAAAAATCTAAAATTGCACATATGACTGGAAAATCAAAAAGCTGAGCTGATTAATATTTCTTATAGTTATTGTTACAGTACAGTAAAAGCCATGTATAAGAGTTAAAGTATTACAGAAATCCA